CCTCGATGTCGTGCGTGATGTCGGCCAGCAGCCGGTGGAAGGCCTGCGCCTCGGGCCGCCGCGCCGCGCCGTCGTAGCTGCGCACCGCGGACGCCGACGTGGAGCTCATGCTGCGCTTGATGCGGCCAAAGCTGTCGGTGAGGATGCCGCCCTCGCGGATGCCCACCGCCTCCAGGAAGCCCTCGAAGTAGCCGACGTCCTGGTCCGGGATGAAAGGCCGCATGCCTGCGGGCCGGGGACAGGAGGGTCAGGGTCAGCCCTCCCCGCCGGCAGAGGGGTCGCCCCCGGGGAGACGTGAGTTTTTTCTTTTTTCTTTGTTTGAGTTGGCGTCTCACTGTCACCCAGACTGGAGGGCAGCGGCCGCTCCCGGCCACCGCAGCCTCGACCCGCTGGGCTCCGGCGATCCTTCCGCCTCAGCCTTCCGAGTAGCCGGAACTACAGGCGCGCGCTACCACGCCCGGCTCATTTTTTTGATTTTTATTGTAGAGAGGCGGTCTCGCCAAGTTGCCCAGGCGGGTCTCGAACCTGCGGGCTCAGGCAATCCACTCACCTCAGCCTCCCAAGGCGAGGGATGACAGGCTGAGCCACCAAGCCCGGCTGAGATGTGAGTTTTCAAGTCCTGACCTGCCGCGCCTCGGCTCTGTGCCCCGGCCGAGTACCGCAACCTGGAGTCAGTGACATGCTCAGCACACAGTAAGTGCTCACTGTGGGTTAGGTCCCTGCGGTTTTGATGTTATGATGACGGTCGCTGTAGTCCTTTTATTAGCTATGTGGCTTTCATTAAATAACCACTCTAAGCTTCACTGTCTTCTCTGGGAAGATTAAGACAGTTGCACCTGTTCTCCCAGCAGGGCTGTGAGGGTTAAGTAAGGTATCCTGTACACAGAGTGCCCCCAAACCATATGATTTTGGTACTTTACTTTGCTACTCTGAGCCTGTTTCCTCACCTGCAAAATGGAGACAAATAATAGTATTGACATCCCAGAAGTGGGAGCATTCGGTGAGATGATGCTTGGTGCATGGTAACTGCCAAACCCATGTTAGCTTATTACTATGACTCTTCCTGAATGACCTTGGATAAGTTCCTCAGGGTCTCTCGTGGGGTAAGATGGCACGAATCCCTCCCTCTCCCAGCCTTGCAGAGAAGAAGAAATGGCCACAACAGTGCTGTGTTCTCATCAGCAATGTCTGGGCTCTGGGACAAGCCCTTTCCCCTCTCTGCAGCTGGGGCTTCCCTCCTTCCCTCTGCCCCAGGCATTTCATAGTCCTGGCCTCCTCAGAGGCTGAAAGATAAGGAGAAAGCACTCCCAGCCAGGCTCCAGCCTGGGACAGGCAGGAACCCAGCCGGGGCCTAGCTGACCCCGGCGGGGTGGGGCGGACTCACCTAGGAGGAGGAACTTGCGCCTGTCCCCGTAGAGCTTCAGCAGGCCGGCACAATAGTCCTGGATGGACAGCCCCAGCCGGTACTCCCGCAGCAGCAGTGCAAACTGCTGGATCTCAGGGGGCCCCAGCTTACTCCGCAACTGTGGGGGGCACATTCAAGATCCATCCCACAGACCCCCACCAGCAGCCCCCGCCTAAAAGGCTCGGAGCCTGCTCTAAGGGTGCGTTTGGCCCGGCCCTCCTCTGAAAACCTGCCCACGGCCCACTCAGGGGATACCCAACCCAGCAGGCTGTGTCTAAGGATGGGATATAAACTCAAGCTTCCAAGTTCAAATCCTGGCTGCTTCATGGGTGAGCCCTGTGATCCTGAGCAGGTAACAACCTCCCTGACCTCTGCTTTCCTCACCAGCCCAATGAGGATAAAGATGGCCCCTTCCTCTTGGGGTTGTTGAAAGGGTTAAAAGAAATGACACACAATGATGCTTAGAATGGTGCCTGGTATACAGCAGGCACTCAATCCATGCTAGCTGGCATTAGTTGAGGCCATTTACAAGCTGCTCTCAGTGTGCTCTCCTGACCTCATCTCCCATGCTGACTTCCAGGGGCGCCTGCTTCAGTTATGTCCAGGACCACACACGATTCCTGAAATACCCTCAGGTTTGGCCCAGCTCCCGGCCTCTGCGCACCACCTGCCCCAGCTCACCGTGATCATGTAATCCTGCAACTGCTCGAGGCCCAGGCCACTGTGGTCACTGCTGCTGCAGTGGGAGCCATGGAAAGAGGGTGTGGACGTGCCACTGTAACACGCTTCAAAGGTGTCCTGGGAGCCATTGCTGCAGGGGCGGGAGGATAGGGGACTTCACTAGCTCCAGCTCCTCTCCCTGGGGCAGGCTGATAGTGGGAGGCTCAGTGACTGATGCTCTGAGGCTGCATCCTAAATGCTGCGTTGGCTCCACGTCCACGAGCTGGCCCGGCCCCCTCTCCAGCCCTGTCTCACTGTGCCTGCCGCTGCTCCTGGGCTCCAGTTACCTTTTTCCTCTAATACTCCAAGTACCTCCTCACCTCTGAGCCCTTGCAGGTGCTGCTGTCCCCTCTGCCTGAAATGCCTCTCTTCCCCTACCTTTTGCGCAGCTAGCTCTTACTCATCATTTGATCTTTTTTTAAAACTAAAACTTTAATTTTTTTAGACACAGGGTCTCACTCTGACACCCAGGCTGGAGTGCAGTGGCATGATCATGGCTCCCTGCAGCCTCCAACTCCTGGGTTCAAACGATCTTCCCATCCCAATCTCCCAAGTGGCTGGGACTACAGGCACACACAATCACAACTGGCTAATTTTTTATTTTTTATAGAGACAGGCTCTTGCTATGTTTTCCAGGCTGGGCTCAAGCAATCCTCCTGCCTCAGCCTCCCAAAGTTTTGGGATTATAGACATGAGCCACCATGCCCAGTCTCTGCCTTGTTTCCTGCTGTATCCCCTGTTCACAGCACAGTGCTTGGCACATAGAAGGTACTCGATAAATATTGCTTAATTAAAATCTTGACTCTTGCCTCCTGGCCTCTAAATTGTTCCAGAACCGTCTTCCATCATTACCCAAAGACAAGCAGTAGAGCTTTTTGGTTAAAGGTATGGATTCTGGGCCAGGATCGTGGCTCAGCCTGTAGTCCCAGCGCTTTGGGAGGCCGAGGTGAGCGGATTGCCTGAGCCTGCGGGTTCGAGACCCGCCTGGGCAACTTGGCGAGACTTCATCTCTACAATAAATCAAAAAATTAACCGGGCATGGTAGCGCGTGCCTGTAGTTCCCACTACTTGGAAGGCTGAGGCAGGAGGATCACCGGAGCCCAGCAGGCAAGGCTGCAGTGGCTGGGAGTGGCCACTGCACTCCAGTCTGAGCGACAGAGTGAGATTCCAACAAAAAAAAAAAAAAAGGTATGGATTCTGGAGCCAGCCTGCTTGTGTTCACATCCCAGGCCTACAGCTTACCAGCTACATGACCTTGGGAAAGCTAAACGTAATCTCCGCATTGCTATGTTTCTCCATCTGTAAAATGGGATGGTAACAATTGGTATTTTTGTGAAAATTAGAGGAGCTAATATTTGTAAAACACTTAGAATCATGAACTATAAGCAACAAGTAAGTCCTAGCTGTTGTCATGTTGCTCTGTTGATAAATTAAAGGACGTGCTTTATAGGACAGCACTTGTCACACAGCACTCAAGCAGTGTTAGTCATTATTATAATTTTCATCTCCCCAGCAGATATCAGGTTGTTTAAGGACTAGCCTAAGGGCACACAGTATAAGGAAGGCAAATATATTGTCACTAAAATGAGGGGGAAAAGTAGGGTGTACATCACTGGCAGAGACGGCTACTTGCTAACCCAAAGTCCTTAGTAACAACCAGGTTGACCAGCTCATACCAGTTTGCCCAGGATTTTCTTGGGCTTAGCACTGAAAATCCCATGTCCTGGGAGTCCTCTCATTCCTGAGCAAATTGGGGAGATTGATCACCCTGTGTAATGTTTTCAACTGATTTTCTTTTTTTTTTAAGTCAGAGTGTTACTCTGTTGCCCAGGCAGAAGTGGTATGATCACAGTTCACTACAGCCTTGACCTCCTGGGCTTAGGTCCTCCTGCCCCAGCCTCCTTCCAGCCTCTCTCCAGTTGGGACTACAGGTGAAGTAGCTGAGACTACAGGTGTGCCACCACACCTGGCGAGTTTTTTTTTTTAATTTTTTTTGTAGGAATGAGGTTTCATTATATTGCTCAGGCTGGTCTCGAACAGTAGTTAGCCACTGTGCCAGCTTGAAATGCTTTAACTTAATTTAATTAAATTAATTTATTTATTTGAGTTGGAGTCTCACTCTGTCACCCAGACTGGAGTGCAGTGGCCACTCCTGGCCACCGCAGCCTCAATCTGCTGGACTCTGGCAATCCCTCTGCCTCAGACTTCCAAGTAGCTGGAACTACAGGCGTGCGCTACCACGCCCGGCTGATTTTTTGATTTATTGTAGAAATGAGGTCTCACTGCCCAGGCGGGTCTCGAACCCGTGGGCTCAGGCAATCCACTCACCTCAGCCTCCCAAAGGCGCGGGATTACAGGCTGAGCCACCAAGCCCGGCTAGTCTACTCTTTTTTTAGGGTTTTATAGTACTTGGAGCCAAAACTAAAGTAACCCAACATTATTTGTTGGCATTCACTGTGATCCTGGATTTTGCAGGCTACTGTGCCTGGATGACGGGGAGAGAAGCACAGACCTATGTGGACCCACGCCTGGGTTCTGTGGCTCCCGGTTCTCTCAGGGGTTCAGATCCCGAGAGCTGCCAAGCCTGGGCACTCAGCTTCCCTCCCCCGCCCAGGGCCCAGTGTCTCTGCACATATCAGGTATAGGCCACTTCTCCCACCCTCCCAGAGCGCTGGCCCTGCTTGGGCAGGAGGGGGAGCAGGGTGGAGCCCTTGACCAGGGCCGTACTCACAGGGAGCTGCAGCAGCTGAAGTCGGCATCATAGGCATAAGTCCCGTCCGTGCGGCAGCTCTCACCTGGGACCAGCAGGCAGAGGGACTGTCAGAAGTGGTGAATCAGGGACCAACCACCCTAACCTCGGCCGCATCCTGGGGCTAGCTATGCCTTTGCTACCAACACACAGCCAAATCTGGCAAGCCCCCTCTGCTCTCCTGGTCCTCTGCTTTCCGGGCATGGGAACATCACCTGCCTACCTTATGGGGGCCTTGGGAATAGCAGATGAAGGAACAGGTGAGGGAACATTTTGTAAACGGGTGTGTTTGAGGCAAGACAAAAAAGAATTTGCAAGGGGGAGGGACTCAAACCTTTACAAGGAAGAGCCCTGTGTGAGAACTTCCTCTCTTCCCAGTCCCGTGGTCTCATGTGTCCAGGAACTGGCCCCACCCTTCTGATCCCAGCTTGCTCAGTGTCACATCCTCACCCTGACTTCCCAGGTGAGACCAACTCCTCGTGATGCATCCCCATAATCCTGTCTATGGTGATGTATTTATTTGTGCACTTATTTAATGACTGCCAGCTTGCCTCAGCCAAGCAAACTTCGTGAGGGTGGGGCCACATCTGGCGTTGCTCGCCGCTACATCCTGGTGGTCAGCACTGGATCTGATGTAGTGGGTGCTCGGTAAATATTTGCTGAGCTTCTCATGTATTTGCTCATCACTCTTGTGAGAGTCGATGAACTGTCCCAGCCTCCCTGCAAGCACAGCTCCCGCAGATGGGGAGGCTTCCAGAAAAAAGTGCCCGCACCCATGTTGCTGGAGCTACAGGGACCACGGTGCAGGTGACTGTGGCTGGGGGAATTCACCCCTTGGCCTTGAAGGCAGCATTGGGGTGAAGTTGCTGCAGACAGAAGCTTTAGACTCAGATAGACTTGGGATGGAATCCTGACTCTGCCACTTACCAGCCACATGACCTGGAGCATTTATTGACTACTCCGGGCGTTAATGTCCTCCTCTGTAAAACTGGAATCATGAGACCTCAGAGAGATCTTTCAACCATTCAAAAAATACTTCATGAGCACCTGTGATATACCCAGTCCAATGCCAGGCACAGGGGGTACACAGACAAGGTTGCCATCAGGATTAAGCAGGACATGGCACATTGGCACTGTGCTTGGCACACAGTCGGTCCTCATTCTCACTCTAGCCCTCAAGTACATCCAAAGACCCATCTGGAAACCTTGGTGTTTAAACTCTGGACCTGTGGGGCTGGATGGATAGCTCAGTAAGCAGACAATCCGCCCGCCTAGGCTTCTGTAGAACAGGGCCACAAACACGAGAGAGAGAGAGAAGTCCCCTCCGGGGTCTCTCTATGAATGTGCCAACCCAAACATCTTTGAAGAAGCTAAGTCTAAGGTCATCATGAAAATGGAAATTTTGTTTTGCCTCCATATTGGGGGTACACTGAAGACCTCCTTGGCCCCAAGTCCTGGGGCCTCCTCCCTCCCCTGGCCTCTCAGGATGTTCCACAGGTGGGGAGGCCAGGAGCCCAGGTACTCACTGCGGCTGCAGAGCCATGGCCGTTCGGGCGTGGCTGTGTAGTGATAGCCAGCCCGGTCCACACACTCAATGCTCTGGTCCCCATAGATGATCTGGAAGACCTGGCAGATGAGCGCACAGGACTCCTCAGCAGCATCCTGGCCCGGGAAGGAGAGAGACCCTCAGGCCCATACCAGCGACCGGATGTGCCCTGCCCCCTAAAACAGTGTGAAGAGGCTCACAGACACACACACCTCCACACCCCTTGAAATCGACCTTGAGGACATTTTCCATCAAAATTGTATGGCTATTCTTTAGGTCTTGGAACCCATTTATAGACTCTAGCAACAACTTGGACTCCTGTGCTGTGAATAATGCACTCGGATTTCTGGGGATGCAGGAGTCCTCCTGAAGCTTACTGAAATGAGCTCCAATTTAGTTGAATGTAAAGGCATAGAAGCTGAGGCCCAGACAGGGGAGGTGATTTGCCAGGATAGAATCCAGTTCTCCTAATACTGAATAGGAAGAGGAATAAATAAACATATCAGAATGTTGGACGCAACACAGTTACTAATACTGGATGCCATATTTAGATATACGCTTCCTGGCACCTGGAACAAACATGGAGGCAGGATGAATACATACACTTCCATCTCTGCTAGAAGGAAGGAGTCTAAGTTCCTGGTGGAATTTTTTGAGATTGCAAATTTGAAGAGGAGTGGATCTCTTTAATTTGCCTCTTTATGTCTTTAAGCAAAACATATAGAAAGATAATAAGTGACGAAGAGACCACCTGCATGAAGCGGTTCCCTATTTTGTTGTCTCTAAAAAAGCCCAAGGTGTAAGTTAAAATGTAACTCGGGGTAGGCGTTGTGAGATGGTGGGGATATACTGATCATTAAACTAGACTGATCCTTGCAATAATCCTACAAAATGGACAGAGAGGATCCTTATGTTGTAGTTACAGATTCTAAGGCTTAGAGCAGTTAAGTGACTTGCCCAGGCTCACACAGCAGGTTCATGGTATTAGTTCATGCCAACACCCAAGTTTTTTGACTCTAACTCCTGTACCCTCCTTGGGACCAGGAAGCCTCAGAGAAGAGGCCAGAGGCCCAGATGTCCCTGAAAAGCAACTCTTCATTCATTTAACTCATTCCACAAATTCTACTCTAATCCTGTCGTGCGGTCGGCACCGGGCCAGAGTCTGCACCCCAACTGTCCAGGCGATGAACAGCGCATACTGCTGCCTGTGTCTGGAATCTGATTTCTAAGTTCTTCCCTCTGCCAACTCCTCCCTCTCTTCTCTATGCTTCAGCTTAAGCAGCAAAAGCTCACTCTCCCCCCTGAGAATGGATCTCCTCCCCCAGTCTCTGTCTGCCAACCTGCCTGTGTTCTTCTGGTCCCCATGGCAAGGTACAATGATGTAATATGCATCAGCTCATCCATTCATGCAACAGATATTTGTTGAGCACCTACTGTGTGCCAGGCACTGTTCTAGGTGCAGGAGGTACCAGAACAAACCACTCAGATCACACGGGCCTCTTGTACACCACAAGGAGATTACTCTGGCTGGAGGGGAGTGAGTACAGAGGTGGGTAGAGAGATGAGGCCAGAGAGGAAGTGGCATGGTGGCTGGGGCATGGATGGCCTTGCAGGCAGTTAAGGGCGTCACTCTGGGTGAAACAGGAGCCAATGGAAAGTTTGGAGTAGTGACACGATGTGACTTATGTGTTAATGGACCACTCTGACGGTAGGAGAACAGACTAATAAGCATGGGATGGATCAGTGAGAGGCGTGACCACATGATCCAAAGAGAGAAAATGGGCCCGGACCTGGGTGGGGATGGTGCAGGGTACAGAGAAGTAAATGGGTTTGTTTTTTCATTTTTTATTTTATTTTAGTCAGGGTCTTATTCTGTTGCCCAGGCTGGAGCGCAGTGGCAGGACCACGGCTCACTGCAGCCTCAAACTCCCGGGCTCAGGTGACCCTCCCACCTCAGCCTCCTGAGTCGCTGAGACGACAGTCTTGTGCCACCATGCCTGGCTAACTTTTTTATTTTTTGTAGAGACGAGGTCTCGCTATGTTGCCTAGACTAGCCTTGAACTCTGGGCTCCAGCAGTCCTCATGTTTCAGCCTCCCACAGTGCTGCGATTACGCGCATGCGCCCCTGCACCCAGCCTTGGTTGTGTTTCAACAAGAACCAGCAGGACTTCCAGCGGGAGCAGGGAGAAGGGAAAAGGCAGGGGCAGACCCCAGGAGCCTGGCGAGT